GATCCTTTTCTGAGAATGATGTACTCTTCTAGGTCAGCTCTCTTTCAATCAGTTCCCACCATATGAAGTGACATTATTTGTATAAATGATTTCTGAGAGACTCAGGAAATCATACCCCATCGCTATGCTGGCAAATATCCAATTGGTTTCAGTGGGGCTTTTGCCTAAGGGATGAATAGAAACTGTAGGACCTGTCCCATGGAAACATGAGGGAAATCCTCATTACAATTGGCTATTTAATGGCACAGTTATGGCAACTTTGGGAGCTGGGATTCCTAAGTTCTATTTAAGACTGCCACTGACATCTTGCATAACTTTGAGCAAGTCTTTTGATCTCTATCCACCTTATTTTTCTCACCTGTACTCATATTATTGAAATAACAATTTACATTTGCAGAGGGCCATATAAATATTATAACATGGGCAAGGAGCATTTTGCTTAATTAAATGATGTTTGTAAAACACCTAGAAATTCTCAGAAGGCAGCTTTGTTCTACTTAACCCTTATGCTTCAGTTGAAAAACTCAAAGCTCTTCAAATCCAGCTGGTTCCAAGAAGCAAAATTCAGATCTTGGATACTGAGTATCTTTCCCTCCCCTGCATCACTCTTCCCATTCTCTCCCCAACTTCGCCCCCATACACCTCCCAACAGTACAGTTCAGGCAGTTTCAGGTCTGCATTTTTGCTTTTACTCATAGTAAGCCTCAGGACTGGGTGCATAAATTTAGATCAGATGTAGGATCTGACATTCCCTCAGCCCCATATTTAATGAGGTTTTGGTATGGTTAATGTTTGTCTTTCATCCAAGGAAAGCAAAACACGAAGTCTGTGTGAAAGAAGTACTGTATTAGTACCACCATGGCACATGGGACTGAATCTCCATAACAATGAATTGGTCCTGCTGTGTGCACTTCATTTTAGCAGGCTTCGTGGTTGTTTTTGTTTCTGCTTTATTCTCCAAATGTATTTCTTAATTTTTTTTTTGTTTTGTTAACTAAACATGCCACTTTTTAAAGGAAACATTTCATAACCTTTAATCGAGATCATATTTTACTTTCATCACATCTGTGTTTATATTATTACAAGCCTTTTGGGTCTTAATGTCTTCTGCTCTAAGCATTAATCGTTTCAGCTGATACATAAATAAATGTTTGACTTTGTTAACTCTTTTAAAAAATGGTCTGCTCTTATCAGTGGCATCTTAGAATAACTCTGCATGTCAAAAAAAAAAGGCGGAGGACAAAACAATTCTGGATTTCCACCAATAAAAGTAAGTGTGGGGATCAGTGCTGGACTCTGATACCTCTAGGAAAAAATTTCTTTTGCCTTAAAGTTACAGTCTACTTCAAGTGAACATATTAGATTTAATGTTTATTTTCCCTACGTCCCTTTTCACTGCCAAAGGGTTTAATGGGCCTTTGGTACAAATGAGAGTTAGTCCCAATAATACATAACAAGGCAACCTAATACTGTTCTAGATAAAAAACAATACTGCACTTGTTAAAATACTGTACTAGTTAAAACCTAATATTGTACTAGTTAAAAAAAATAATGGTAGAAGACTAAATGCTAAGCTCTTGTCTCATTGATGTTGGTGTAAATCTATAATGAAGTTAATACAGTTCTTCCAGATTTTAATTGGGATTAGAATCTGGTCCAGACCATTTTGAGATGTATGTATGCAAGCAGGGAAAGAGTAAAGTGGTTCTCTGAATATTGAACTAGGGTTGTAATGGAGATCCTCACACTTAAGACCACTGTACATTATGTCCTGCCCTGAAAATATTTGTTATGTATGAGATCTTTGCCTGGTGTAAATTGGCATAGCTTCAGTGGATTCAGTGGAACTACTTTAATGTATACAACCTCAGGATCCAACTTGGACTAGATTTTCAATGGCGCTGCAGGTTGAATGTGGGTTTTAGAAGGTTCTTTGAAATATTATGAAATCCAAACATGGAAATAATATCACACTGTAAATACATGTAAGAGCTCCAAACTGTTTACTCATACTTCTGTATTCCTATACAAGCCTGTGTGACCTCTGATTAATTTACCATTAGCCTGAACACACAATGAAAATGAATGAAGGGACAATTTGGAATGACATTTATCAGCTCTGGAACTGTCAACTTCTATTATTTCCACAAGGCCTTACACTTCTTGGCTCCAGAGAAAGCTGTGCTGACTAGAATGAAGACGAGCATTCTTAGCACCAGGAATAGCTGCAAGACAAACAGCTTCATCACTGGATGCCTTGGACAGAGAGACCACCTACTTCATTTCCAACTTATATTAAATTAAACATAAAAAAATAAAACCATTCTTTAGTGAACTAATACAAAACCTTGTACATCACACTGTATAAAAAAAATAGAAGAAAAGGATGGGCAGCTCTTTGGGACTAGATAACCAGCTGTTGATGATACAGTGGCATGGCAAAAAGCCCTGAAATTCTAGGGCAGTGATTCTCAACAAGGGTGTCGTAGTGTCCTGAGGTGCCTTGAAATCCTTTCAAGGGTACTGCATGGTGCCGTGCAATGTTAGCACTGTCAGGTGTGCAAACATGATTCATTGATTCACAAGATAAATCAAGAGCTTTCAAATGGGAATTCATAGCATTAAAACATTCTGACCTGTTGTGGTCTTTTTGAGTTCTATGCAGGAAAAGAACTGCTCCATTACTCTTCTGTAGTCAAAAATGAGCTGGCATGATGAGTGCCTTGAGTCTAAAAGTATTCAGAACTACTGCTTTAGGATGCAAATTTGAATCCAGCCTAGACTGAAGGTGAAGATAAGCCATTCCCATATGAGGGCTGTTTGGTGGCCTGTATGAAACAAAGCAATGGTCTCAGTCAGGTTTCTAATGGAAAGACAGCATGTTGCACAGTTCAGCTAATCAAAACCTTTTTAGACTGAATGGAGAAAAGCTAGTAGGGAGGTTTGCACTACTTGTATTCTCTTCTGGGTAGCCAGGAATGCTCATCTGCACATCTCCTTAACATGGAGCTGTTGGATTTGTTGGTTAATTTTTAGGTGGTGCTTTCTGATGAACTATTCCTGTATAGATTTTTCACCAACACAGTTACACTATTGTTTTCTATTGAAAACATTGGAACATTAGGATAAACCCTATTTTAGTTAGCAATACAGAAATTTAATCATATTATGATATAAATTCAATCCTGAGACAGATGTTCATATTTCTTGATTTTTAAGAAAAGCAGGTTCTTTTCCAATCCAAAAATGTTTATTAAACTGGGTAAACTTTTCAAAAGCAAGCAAGGGACTTACAAACTTGTGTTTTATGGCAAGCCAGTGGGATTTGGCTCCTGAATTTTTAAGCAATTTTTGAAAGTGGGTCCTAGGTTCCCAAGTCACTTTTAAAAATGGTATTCACTCTTTGACGATGATGATGCAGAAGTTGCATCTAGGACAGCTTGAATAGCACTGTAAGAATATTTTGTGTCCATTATTCCCCTTATTGTTTTGTTTTTAAGTTGTAATTTATTTTCATTTGTGACAGTTACAAAAGTGTAAAAATAATCAAATATACAAATATCATAAAAGTGCTTGCTTGTTGGATAATTGCAAGGAATATAACAGTGCTTTGCAAAATGATATGTAGATTGCTTGGTGATGGAGAGATTCATATTTCTGTAACACACTGCTCTATAGACCACTGGAAAAATCCTTGTTTATTGCTGTACACTTCCTGTCACAGAACTGGAATTATTGTAGCAGTAGAAATTGTCTCTGCATATAACAGTCAGATATTATGGACCTGCTTCTGCTCTCGTTTGCATTGCTGTAAATCAGGGGTAGTTCCAAAGGAGTCAATACACTTATAACCAAAGTAAAACTTATGAAAGGAGATCAGAATCAACCCTACTATGTCTATAACTGAGCCCATGCAAGAATGCATGGGTATGACTGTACAGTTCCTTTAAACTGAGGATGGTCTGTCTTCCTAACTCACAAATGGCAGAGGAAAGCTGATACATTGGGGAGTTCTGCAACAGTATCATTAACATATTGTGTATTTGGCATGCTGGGCTAGTAGCAGGTAAGTACATGGTGGAAAGGTCCAGGTTCAAATTATCAGTTCCAGACATTAAAAAGGAAAACAGGATTTCATGGATCCTTCTTCTTTTGTTTTTTTGTTAGCTCTGGCTTATGTTACCAGGATTTATTTAATTTATTGCTCATTCTTGTTTACTGCTGTGTATCTATAACCCCAAAACCCATAGTAAGCAGGTGACAATCCCGTTGATTTCAGCAGTATCTACATATTCTTTGTGAATTTGACCTAGGCTTTCAATATTACCAAAGGAGTAATTTGCTTGGTTCATATAAAAATTCAGCAATGTAGATGCTTATTTAAAATTGTTGAAATCACTGATAAAGATTTGAAGTTGAAAATATTGCAAAACAGTCTTTTCTGGTTCTGATTGGATAACAATTAACCAGGAATTATCTTTCTGCTTTTTTGCTGCTTGCAAGTTCAGAGAAAGAGACACTGGAACTGAAATAAAAATTAATTTCATCCACTGAAACAAATTTACCCAAATTTTATAACTACCAAAGAGGACTGATTTGGATTTGGGCTGAATATTAGGCAAAGATTGTGTTCAGTGCATTTATCCATCATCTTAAGCTTTTTTTTTTAAATGACAAAATATTATTCTGCATGTATTCCCCATTTAAATGTGTAAGTAATATATTTTGTAAATGCAAATAACTTTATTCAGTGTAAACTCTTAGGAACAGAGCACAAAGAAGGAATGTTCTCTAATTCTGTCAGGCAGAAGTTCTCTTTCCTGTGCCATTTTGATTTCCAGTTGATATAACATGATGATACAACAGGCAGTGTTGCAGTGGATTTTAAGATCACTGGTTTTGCAGATTCATATGTACTGAAAATTGCTATCTGTGCATGGATGAGTTGTGGCAAGAGCAGAATAGTTGTAATATTCTTTATTTTCTTCTGCTTTTGGCAGGATGAAGTGGCTCAGCCACTGAACCTCTCAGCCAAGCCCAAGACATCAGATGGCAAATCTCCCACATCGCCCACCTCTCCTCATATGCCAGCTCTGAGAATAAACAGTGGGGCCAGTTCACTTAAATCTTCTGTGCCAGCAACATTAGCTAGCCCTTCAGCCAGAGCTAATACAATAGGTGAGTTCAGCTTCTTTTGTTCTTTTTGCAGAATGGTCATTATTAAAAAATCAGTATGATGTCACACAGTAGCATATAAGGTATTACAGGTGGAACCTTATTCTGCATTTATTGAAGTCAATGGAAAAGCTCCTGCTGACTTCAGCTGTTTATGATACAAATCCCACCTCTCTATCAGAACTGAAAAAAATCTCTATTACTTCTCTGTATGATGACCTGACTGATATATAATAGAAGTCAATAAATGATGACTCTTTAATAGCAACCACTGTACTACAGCAATTCAGACATTTTACTGTGTTATTTAGAAGCATAAGCAGTTGATGAATAAACTTTAAAAAACCATGAATAAACTTTAAAAAAATCTTGAAAGTTATATGCCTACATATGCATACAGTTTCTTAGAAAATTACAGGTTTAATGCATAGTCCACTGAAAAGCTGCATGGGGCTTTATTTTAGCTTAATCTACCAGAGAAAATATTAATGGCTAACTGAAAAATAACCAGGTTCATTTCACAACATATTTTACACTGTATCCTGCAAATAGTTTGACTAGCTGCTTTGGTGGTGCTCTCTAACAGGGCTGTGCGAAGCTTTGGTCCCTGATTTGATTCGGTGGAGATTCAGCCCGATTCGGTGGCCAAATCTCTGAACCTTAACTGAATTAGGAGACCCTTCAGTCTCCCCAAATCAAATCAGAACCCTCCAAATCAATTTGGAGAGATTCAGAAAAATGCAATGATTCAGACATAGACACAGCTTTAAATGTTTTTTCTACATACCTCAAGGTACCAGGCAGCTTGTGAATGCTGCGATGGTGGGGCAGATGGAGTGTCCCACAGGAGCATGGGGAGCTCCCCACCATGCTCAGCTGCAGACCCAGAAGTGGACCAGAAGTACCTCCAGGTCTACCAGATACTGTGCCAGAGGCCCCCCCTGTGTTCCCCCTGGCTTGGCGACTGGTGCCTCCTGGGTCTGGGTGGCCACCTGGCTCGCCCCCCCAGCCAATTGCTGAGACAGTGGGGTGCAGGGGGCATGGAGTGGGAGGGGGGCAGTATATTCAGCAGTAGACCTGGAAGTGGACCAGAAGTACTTCCACATATGTGTGTAAGTGTTAAAGATGATCGTTTTCCCTAAAATTCTTAATGTTAAGTGGGTCAATATAACTTGAATTGAGTTTCAGTCTCTTATTTTTAGGCGGTAGAATGAGGCATTCATATGTTTACTCACTATAAGATTTCATTCACCTTCTTCTCAATTATTTGGGTGCTAGCTGCTGTCAGAGACAGGACAGTGAACTAAGTGGACCATTGGGCTAATTTAGCACAGCTATTTGCTATTTTTTATTTTCATATTGCATTGAAATCTTTTGAGCCCTTGAGCCTTTTTTCCCTACAATGTATATGTACTCCACTAAAGTTCAGTGTGGTCCATATTCCAACTGTGCATGCACCAGTGACACCCACACACATGTCCAGAGTTTCAAATATAAACCTCGGTATGCAGACATAATTACCATTAATGCTGATGAGAGTGATGGTTACATGTAACAAATTGAAAATACTCCTATGCTTGCCATAAGAGTATTTTATCTGGTATACATATTCTATAACATTTCATAAATGTTTCATAAATATCCCATTGTTAATTGTTAATGCATGACTTGTTATGTATTATTCTTATTAGACCTAGACTCCTTAACTTGCTTGGCTAGTAATGTATTTGCATCTTTAATCTGGTTGGCCCTGCTACTCTCCATGTACAAAGGACTGAGTTTTAATTTTTTTCACATTAAAACCTTTGTGCTTAGGAGGGCGAACAGCATATTTAGGCATGGAGTTAAGCATCTGACCTGCATCTTAGTGGCATGACACCTCTTGTTCTTTCCTGATCAGTCCTCATTCTCTTTCCTCCTGGTATTTTTCCTAGATTTGAGACCCCTGCAATTTACTTTTCTCCTTTCAACAAAATGCAGATTTTGAAATGCTGTACCTGTAATGAGTGATAATGTAATTGGATAAAAGCTGCGAGGATGAATGGAGCTTTAAAGGTCACTCTTGTAAGAAGAATTAATGTGTTATACCATTAATAAACCATGGAAAACTGTGGAGCAAAAGATAACATACTTAAGTTATTGTTAATGACATAGAGTTCACGGCTGTATATCTCCTAGCTACAAATATGGAAAGTGACTTTTTGAGGTTGCTGAACAGTATCACTGCGCATACTGCATAAGATAAGCTGGCTTTCAATGTGGTATAAGAAGTGGACAGACATAGGCTGCTCCTATCAGAAATCTGTCCTTTTTTTGGAGGACTGGATGAATGCAAGGCTTCATAGGAAGAAGTCTAGAGACTAGTGCTTGTTGCTAGGTAACTAATTCAGATCCAGCCAGAGTCACTACCATGTAAAAACAAGTTCTTATGTTAGGGCCTCTGTCCCCTAACTGATGCTCACATACCTCTTCACATCTGCTGCATTTAGGATTGTGGCTGCTTTCAGTTTGTTTCTGTATTTAAACAAAAGTAAGATAGCCCTCTTTGCTCTCAAGGCAAAAAGTAAAAAGCAAGTTGTATTAAAAAATCAGCCAGTCCAGGCCTCCCGGATTACCTAGGCCGCAAAGAGAATTCCCAGATGTTCTGTTCCTGTGGGCTGCGCAGCACTGGGTAGGGAAACTGAATTGCCTTTTCACCTTGAAAGATAGATCCCTCCAGGGACCCAGTACAAGGGTTGAAGCACACTGAATGAGAAGAGGCTTCCAGAGCTCTCAAGGGGGTGAGGGAAGAGGTTAGACCCACTTTCCTGAGCTGCCGATAGGCCAGCACCTTCCCCCAGCATGAAATTCACATAAAAGCCCTGTTTTAAAATGAGTCCTTCAGGCTACTTGTTGTCAGTGCTCAGCATTGTGCTCCACATTCTGAACAGGCTCACCTTGTTCAGATACATCTGAACGATGCTATGTTCACAGCATCGTTCAATTGTATCTGAGCGAAGTGAACCTTTTGCACATATCAGAAAGAGTGTAGAGTATGTAGCTGGTCAAGTAGGGCACGTGGCCTGATCCAGCTCAGCCACCCAGTATATCATGCTATACCTTGAGTAGTCTCAAATATCCTTCCCACCTTTCTATCCAAGTGTTTCTTTTCAGAAACAGGTATATTTCTACTTGTTAAAACCAGAAACAATTTCTCATTTTTCCCCATTTTCTCTAACATCTAGATGGTGTCCTGGCAATCCTTGTGCAATGTATGTAATGTATAGTATGTAATGCAGCTCCCCTCTGTCAGTAATTCATTGCTACCCTAAATAATAATTTACATTCAACACACATCTATATTAATCATTTCCCCATGCACACAAGCATCTTGGCACCTTAGAAAAACTTAAGGGGTGCTTGCTTTTATTCCCCGTCATGTGCTGAACCTTCTTAAGGTAGTGGTACTCAGAAAAACACAAATAGTCCAGAGAAAGGCATGCATCCCCTTTCTTAGGCAAATTCAGCTTTGCTGCATTTTGTAAGTACTATACCTAGCCTAATCAACAGCATTGCTGGATTTTGGTATCACAGTTTGTTTGCTTTTTAATTTATTTTGACAAACTGCAAGCTTGAACAGCAACAGATGCAAGGTGAGGGAAGGACCAAGCAATTTGTTTATTTGCAGTGAGTGGGGAGGATGGAGAATGCCTTGATACTGTTGAGTAGGTGCAGGTTACAGCTTTCCTTACAGTGAGAAAGATGTCAGTGGCCTGGAATTACTGAGTTAGGTCATTAGATAAAAAGAAGTGATGTAGAGTGAGTTAATTTTATGTAACACTGGTAGTGTTTTGGGCTATTTAACTGAGAAGTATTTGTTGATCTTATTCCCTGGCCTCCAACTCCACAGAAACTTTTGCTTTCAACCTTCCAAAGGAGACTGAAACACCAGCCCTATTCTGCTCGTAATTAAAAAAAAAAAAAAGGGGGGGGGGGGAGGG